CTAAGCATGTCTCAGCATTTTGCCTGCATGCTGCTGCTTTGTCCTTTCCTGTTGTGTTTTGCCATTCTGTCTTGCTACTTTGCACCCACCAGTCCCGTGCAATCCGTCATTTTACTTTCTGTCCCTTAACAGGCCTTGCAAACAAGCAGCTATGTTCATATTCACAGTTCTGCTCCGTGTAGTAGTTCTCATATTACCTATTAATCAGTCAGTGCATCCATCTCCTGTATTTATTGTTCTGTATCTTCTTTCATGTGTGTTGTAACAAGGTAAGGACTCTGTCCTCTTGCTTTGTGTAAATAGTATGCACAAAATATTTAATATTGTCTTGCTTTAAAATATATAAGCTCAAACTGTCCAGAGAAGTAGCTTTTTGGCCATGGGTTTATATAGGAATAATGACTGGAACTGCTACATTTTGCTCTGGAAACTCTGACAACTGGTTCCTGGCCTCTAATAAAAGGGTATTTTTATATTCTTTGTATTGTGCACCATAGAAGAGTTAGTCATATGTAGATTATCTGACATTTGTGCGAGTACTTTTCCCATTCACATGTCAAAGAGTGACTGTGAGCTTTTTTATTCTTCTGATCCAGCTGGAGGGAAGTTAAGTGAGTAAAAGAGAAGTTAACCTTTGTTCCTGTGTTTCCATGCAGACTTCATCTTTTAGAGATACCTCCTGTCCATACAGAACTCAGTTACCATGTATGGTGCCAACCTCAGCATTGAGCAGTACCGAGTACAGCCCGGAATCTAAAATGCTGGATTACGTGCAAGAGCTGGACTCTTCCTTCCATCCAGTCCTATCATTCCCTTCAGGTAAGTAACCCAAACTCCATGCCTCCACAGAGGGCTGGGTGCTTGTGAGAGCTGTGCAGGCTGTGGACTAACTTTCCTTTGGAGTGGGTTTTTTTTATAGTTCTTACAGAAAACTTCCTACTGGCAGAACACACATGTTTAGGCTGAAGGAAAATCGTAGTTTCGCACTGATATTTGAAAAACACATCTGAATTTTCCATACCAGTAAGGCACTTGCAGCTAACAAAGTGTGGTCTGGGAAGAATTTGGTGTTCTTTGTGGTAAGTTTCACAGTGTGTCCACTCCAAGTCAGTGGCAATCCCTTGAATGGTGCTATTCCCACACATTTTGGTTCTGTTGTTTCGTGGGCAGCTTTCAGCTCAGGCCCTTTGCACTAGGCTCAGCAAGTTTCTGTAGTTCTTGTGATTGTTTTAGTGATAACCAGCCTTATGGTGGTTGCTGATGTTAATGATTTCTGACATCTGATTCTTTAAATCTTCTTAAACAATAATGCAGACGTTGACTCAGTCTCTTCTTTGCTCTGAAAGTGCAACTTGCACTTCCAAATTACCACATCGAGTGCTGTTGTCTGCAGAAGGGATTCATACTATTGAATTTTTTCTTTCTTTGTGATTTTTTTTTTTTTTTTTGCATTTTAGACAAAACCTTTTTACTGAGCAGTATGGGAACCCTGCTGTAACGAGGGCTTCTTTGCCACTAAATAATCCCTGCAGAGAAGAGCTGTCCCCACATGCTTCCTGGGTCACTCGGTGCCAGTTTTTCTACCTAATCAAGTTGTTTCCTTGCTTCGGCTTCTGAGCAAGGACTGCTGATCACAGCACATGTTTTGAGAGGCATTTGTCAGTGTTTCTTTAAATATCTGTTCAGGGATAGTTGTATAAGGCTGTGCCCCTTGCCTTCATTCTTGCCTTAGTCTTAAGGGAGACTAGGAAGTTTGACAGGAATGCTGGAAATCTATCAGAAAAGAAAGCCAACTCTAATCATCATGAAAATAAAAGAAACTGAAAGGCTTTTGATTGCCTTGTGGATACTGTAGGTCATTTTGCCAGAATGAAGGAAGAAAAATGTTATTGTGATACTAAGGGCATCTTTCTTTTGAGGAATATTTATCCTCTTTTTCCAGGAACCTTAGCCTTGCTAATAATAGATAAGACAGGATAAGAGTGCTGGACTGCTGTGTGCTGCTTGGACACACTCCTTGCTTTTGAGGGAGCGTAGATTCCTGCTCTGGATCACGCTCTGTGCACTTTGCTGTCTTTTCCTTGTCAAGAGGACTGTTAGTTATTTGTCATTCTCTTCTCTATGAAGTAATGGTGAGTGAGCGTATGCTAGAAATTTTCCAGTTTGATCAGGCAGTGTGATTCACTTTCGTGTCTTCTTTGCAGCTTCCTTAGTTAACCCTTTCCAGAAGGATAACTTCTCTCAAAACACAACTCGTGGTATCCCCACATCTTCTATCACTTTCTTCTGAATAAAATAAAGTTTGTCAACAAAGCAGGAAAAAAGGCTTTCTTTTTAATTTCCTCTGTGTGTTAGAAAATAACGTTTGGTGTTGTCGTATTCTGAAGCTCTGAGGATCAGATTTTTCAGCGTGTGATGATGGATTCAGTATAAAACTCAGATATGTTCTTGTACCTATTTTTTTATTTGTATTTTTTAATTTCAAAGGAGAATCATTATTTGCAGGCGAGGTGACAGAACTGTGCAATTAGACTTGCTTGCTTCAGGAAATATAATGATATCATGGATCCAAGTCTTAAGAGATTCCATATTACAGAGGGTCTTTAATGAAAAAGTGCAAGTGATTGCATCATACCTTGAGCATGAAAGTGATTTTCAAGCTTACGCTTTCAAGGATGGAACTTTGTAGGTTTTATCTAAGGCACTGGGCCTGGTGCTTTAGCACTAGTTTGTGGTTAATCTGGAACAAATACTGTTGCCATTTTAATTAAGGGACAGGAGCACGTAATCTGAGACAGTGAGATTGTTCTTCAAGAATCACAGAATCACAGAACTGTAGGGGTTAGAAGGGACCTCCAGAGATCATCGAGTCCAACCCCCCTGCCAAAGCAGGTTCCCTACACAGGTAGGCATCCAGGCAGGTCTTGAACATCTCCAGAGAAGGAGACTCCACCACCTCCCTGGGCAGCCTGTTCCAGTGAAGAAGAAATCAAGAGAACTTTGGTGGTTTTTTTTTCCTTTACATGAATGTCATGACTAATAAACTTTTCAGACCTTCTTTACCTTTTTTCAGAGGTAGAAAAGGAAATGTGCCAAAAACCTTGGGGGGAAGAAGACTTTTTGCAGGTCAGCTTTGATCTTGAGACTAAATACCTACTTAGATCAGTATCAAATTAAAGTAATATGTCAAGTATAAAATAATTTAATGCCCACCCTGTGGCCCCGAACTCAGTCCTCTGAATGTAACAGTTGTCAAGCCTGCTTCTTATGTTGACATATTTCTTTCTACTTAATTTCTCTTTTTTCTTTTTATTTCCAGAAAGTCTTTTCTTATAGTGACCTATTTTTCTTAAGCCTTCCTGTCTTAACAACAGTGGCTAAATTCCTTACCACTTGAGATGTTTTGCAGACTAATTCTTGGTTAGAACTCCCTCAGGAAATGAATTACATTTCCTGCTGTAGCCTTTGCCAGAGAGGGAAAGAAGGAATGTATCTTGAAATTACCTCTAAGCTCTCAGCAGTAGCAATTTTGAAAAGTGTTAATTACTTGTACCCAAAAGGCTGAACCAAAAGCCTTGTAGATTATAGGGAACGTGCCCTGTGTGCTCTTTATCGTGCTGGGCTCAGTACAGAAGCTAGTCAAGAGGGGAGGACCTCAGTCTTTCTCTCCTTTTATCCTCCAGAGCTTGTTTTCATGAAGATCAATTCTGGAGTTGTGGCAGGTACAGACACAGTTTATTCCAGAGTAATACAACCTTGAATTTTCTACTTTGCCACTGAAGACTAAAGAAGCTAAGCTGTGAATCTACAGAGTGTCCACACTGTGATTTGTTGAGGAGCATCAGTTAAGTTTAAGTCCTACCTGGATTTTAATTGCCTTACTGGTCCTTAAAAGCTCACAGTGCAGGAGGGCTTGGAACCACTCAAGCATAATGCCTCTGTTGGCACAGGTTGCAGTGCCAAGCTAAACTTTGACTTGTTTCTACCATAGTACAACTCACTTTCTAGTAGCACAAAGAAAGGTACCTTCACGTCTTACCTCTCAGCAATTACAGGAGATTATCTTAGAATCACAGAATGGTTTGTGTGGGAAGGGACCTTAAAGCCCATCCAGTTCCAAACAGCTGTACTGAGCAGCTCGGGCTGCCCAGGCCCCATCCAGCCTGGCCTTGGGCACCTCCAGGGATGGGGCACCCCCAGCTCTCTGGGCCGCAGTGCCAGGGCCTCCCCGCCCATCTGATGTCGTACTTGTTTTAGATGCACACGTGCAATAATTGCTGAGAGTTACCTTCCCTGCAATTTCTTGTTTATGTATGTGAAAGTCACACCTTTGAAATGTCTGGCTGGGATGTGGTCATCAGGTTTTCCTTTGGGCTTTTCCCAGTTTCAGATGTTCACCTAGATTGTGTCCATATTGACAGTGTCAAGATACTGCAGATACTGTAGTGAGCAGATCTCAGAGCTGTGCCATTTCATGAGTCACAGGACTCAAGACAAAGATGATATGATGCAGTGTCATGTAAATTGATTCCTAGACCTCTAGTGATGACACATATTTCATTATTTCACGGGTTACCATCTAAACCTTGTTTTGTTTGGATTGTTTATTTATTTTAGATATTCCTCTTCACATATACTTCGAAACATTATTAAGGAAGGATGACGTCAAGGGAGAACCTGTTGATGCCTCGTATCCTGGAGTGGAATTTAAAATAGCTCCAGAAAATGGTACGTAAGGCAAAATAGTGTAATGTTTGCAAGACTGTTTTGCATTAGTTTGTCCCAAAAACGTTCAATTTGTAACTTCAGCAAGGGCAGTTATCAGAGAAGGTAACTGGCCAGGGATTTAGGTGGAAGAGGAATCTCTAGAACACAGGTACTGCAGCTACACTGAAGCGATCCCATCAGGAGGGCACCAGCACAGTGCAGGGAGTTTGGACTACGAGTTCTCTGCAAACACAGGTGCCCCACTGCAGTGTTTTCAATGTTTGGATCCTTACCTGAAGTTTGCCTTTTCCGCTGTAAATAGTTCACCAGCATTGCCTGGAACTGCAGCCACGGAGAATAAGTTCACTTGATATTTGCTTTTTCTGTTGTAGACTATAACCATCATAATGTTGCTCTCAAACGATGGAACAATAGCTGTTTATCTAATTCCAAATCTCAATCAGTGTCAGGAACATCTGAGCAGCTGTCGGAAGGAAGAAAGAAAAGACATCTAAGTGAGACAGCAGTGGGTAAGAGAAAAGCTGTTGTTTAAGACACTTCTGTTTGTTTAAGTGTACGTACTGTATAAATGAGTTTGTCCTTGGGCTTTTGTGAACAAATTCTGAGGTGTCTCCAAAAAGGAAAGTATTGCAAAACTCTTCAGGAGTAAAGGAATGGACTTAAAATGCCAGGAAGAGTAATGTGCTATTGTAAAGCACCATAATCCTTCTCCTTTTTTCTTCAGTGTGTATTGCAAAAGGAGGCAAGCTTCTGTATTTCATTTTTGGAATGCTCTTTAAGGAAGCTGCTTAGCAGTCCCACTGTGTTTTTGTAATGCTGGGTGTCATTATTTTCATGATGAATTTTTTTATAGTAGCCTAGTGAAACTGACTGAATTGCAAAGTTATCTGTCAAATCACGTGCCCAACCAAACATTTACTATTCCTGGCATCTTTGGTCAGCAGTGCTTCATTTCTTGTCTGCTGTCATTTGTGGTTCTGGTTTCCTTCCAGGCTGTTAGGAGGACTTGTGGGTAACCAGTGCTTATAATTAGTGTTTTCACTCGTTACCTTTATATTTTAAGCCACTGAATCTCCACTTCAGCAACAGGTAAATTAATAGAAGCTGCCCTGAAATCTCTATAGAGCCACGAAGAGCAATGTGATCATATAGACAGGAAATTCAACACGCCCATGTAGATTTAAATAGCATCTTACTTCTCCAGGCCATTGGGATGTAAAATCTAACAAATTCTATTACAGATTCATTTATGTGAACTTTGGGAAAACTTTTGGCAAAAACCCTCCCAAAAGATGCAAGGAAAAATGATAAGTAGGAAGGCAAACTGTAGTAGTGTAAAATGTCCCCTAGGAAAGAACTAAAATCATCAGTTAACATGATGGGAAAATACACTTCTAGCAGGGATCTGGGTAAAGCTGTAATCCAGGTAAAGGAACACAGGTGTGGGAATTGCCACAGAGAGAATTTAACCAAAAGTTATGATGTGCTTAAGAGCACGAAGAAAGCCAAGATGCCCCCAAAGGCACGTGCTGACCCAGCGCTCCTTGTAACCATGCTGCTTCCCCAAGTGAGCTGTCGTGCACTCTGAGAGCAACAACTGGAGATACTGGGAGCACCAGAGAGAGAAGCTCTTGATATAAACCTTCCGAAGATACAGTTAGTCCTCTGCTAATAGTATTTGGCTACTCAGGGTAGCAGAAGAAAAAAACCTTTTATCATAAGGATCACAGTTTCCCAGTGCCAGAGAACTGCTTTGTAGTATAGTCGTGAGTAGCAGCAGCAGTTCCAGTTTATTAGTGCTATGGGTGTAGTACTACATATTTATTCCTAATTTGGGCTCTGTCTAGGAGAAATTATCCATGGGGAAGGTCAGCCTGATGAACAAGGCCAAAAATAAAAGCTGTGTGCCAGGGAGCTGCAGTGCTGCCTGGGAGATGGGAGTTCGTGTCCTTGACCCGGCCTGTTTGGATGTAGGATCTGACTTAGCTTTTCTTTTTTCAAGTTGGAATCTGCTGCTTCTTTTTTATTAGTTGTTAATTCGTTCTCTTTTTTTTTCATCTGGGCATTACGGTAGAAGGAAAGCAGAACGCTGGTGGTTATCTCCTGAATCCTCTTAAATGCTGCTTCCACTGAGACTAAATAAGAGTAAAGGGGAATTAGGATTTGTCTGGAGCAGTGGGCCAGTGCTAGAAGAAACCACACATGGAGATGGAGGAACTAATTTTGTTTGTTAGCCCCGCTGCCAGTTCTGTTTCGTTGTTTGCCCGTTTATCTGGAGGAATCTGTCAGTCACGGATTGGTACATCGGAGAGATGAAGTGCTCTGAGGGGATGCTGGGAAGCATTCTTCTAGGTCTGATTGGATTTGCTGTGTGTAGTCTAGGATGGTTTCTGTAATAAGAAGCAGGATTTGCCCGTATGAAGTTGGTTCCAGCAGAAGAAATCCTTTGTAGAAGGAAAGGGACGAGCTTTGTGGAACGGCAATGACAGGATGAGTAACAAGTGTTTATTTAGACAGCTTTTTTTTAGTATTCACTAAATCTCAAGTGGATAGCTGTGGGCTCCTAGAAATGACTTTACTATTACTGTATGGAAAAATATCCTTGGTCTAATAGACAACAGTCGGTATGCATTTTTTTATTGCTGTTCTTTTGTGACAGGCGAACGTAATGGTAGGTTTGAGACGTTCTCCTTTCAACATGCAGAACCAGAATCCCCTGGCAGTTTTGCAGCCGTGACCAATATCAATGCGATGTCTAGGCCCACTCACAGCACTTCATCACAGGTAAAAGAAAAATGCATCACTGCCTTGGCTGAAATGTTAATGGAGTTGCAAACAGTCATCAAAAATGTGTGCCTTTTTTATCTGATGTAGGGTTAAGTTACAGTAAAGAACCTTCTTTGCGTTAAGTGAATTATCCCAGATGGAGTATCTGTGCTTGGAAAACAGATAATTGTTTGTTAAAGAGTTTCACAGATAATAGAACTAAAGCAAGCATTTCAGTTACTGGCACTGGGCCTTTCATTTTACTTTTTTTCAGATTTCATTGAGTATACCCTAATTTATACTTCCAGGTTTACACAGGAGCTCTTAAAACACTTTCTTCTTGGTGCAAAACATGCACCGAGTGCAAATACAGTCACAACACTTGTTAAGACTCAGCTTTGCTGTTTGAAATCTCTGTGCAACTCAGCCTCTGGTATAGAAATTTTCTGAGGAGCAGCAGAGCTCTGATTCAGCAAAATCCCTGAAGAAACTTTGTTTTAACTCTATTGGAAGTACTGAACAAATTCATTTTGCTACTCAGGTTTCAGGCCCCCAGTTCTGTTTGGCCTATTGCTGTGCTAGTGCCTGCTGAGTTTTAATCTGGTGATGATGGCTGGAGAACTGAATTCTGATACACATCTTCCAGGCAATTTTGGCCATGCACAGATAGATCTCTTATTACTCTTCTTTGATGAAGCCATCTTTGAAGAACACCTAAATCAGCATTTTAGAATAGATCTCTTTCCATTACCATTAAGCTAAAAATTGAGATATCTTATTATGTACTACATCATGATTTAAAGCTAAATTTTCTCTGGTAATCAAGGAAGCTCAGTTTTTAGCCTTATAGGATCCATGCACTACTGAGCACAGAAAACCAGGAATCCTGGTATGATCATGGCAAAGAAATTCAGTTATGAAGAAGGGAGCATTAAATTTGAAGATCTCTTAAATATTCAAAATTAATTGTAATTGAAATTAGGGAAATACCCACTGATTTCAGAAAGAGTTATGAAAGCAAGGAGTAGATGTTAGCGATAAGATATTTTTAAGATCATTAGACCTCCAGAGTCTCTTGAAGAGTTTCTTCTTGTGCACTTCTGTTATTTCTCAGTTAACTTAGTTCCTGTGTTGTAAGCTGATGAATCTTGAATTGACTCTATTATACAGCATAACTCCAGGAGGAGGCTGAGAAGCGAGAGCTCCTATGATATAGACAACATTGTTATTCCAATGTCACTGGTGGCACCATCAAAGTTGGAGAAACTGCAGTACAAAGAAATCCTGACGCCAAGGTTTGTTCATGACCTCAGTTGCAAAGAAAGTGGCAAAATGAACGTGACAGCATTAAGGGTACTGATAATTTGTATTAGATAATGTTACAATACTGAGGCCATCTTCTCATGTGCTTGGTGGTTGCTTTTTAATATGCATTTCATTTTGTGCATAGAAGTGGGTAAAAAGATGGGTGGTAGGAAGACTGGTCAGCTGATGGCACAAGGGAAATGAAGCAATAGGCACAGAGTAATGGCAAATGCAGAGACTGGCCAAAAATAGAAGGGATTTTGTACCATTTTAATTGTAGCAATACTTGTATGCTATTGGGCTGACCCTCTCAGCAGTTACGTGGAGATTGCTGTCTTTTGTGTGCATTTGGTTCATTGAGATCCTGGAGCATGTCCAGAGAAGGGCAACAAAGCTGTGATGGATGAGCACAAGTCTTATGAGGGAGCTGGGGATGTTCAGTGTAGAGAAGAGGCTCAGGGGAACCCTTACAGCTCCCTACAACTCCCCGAAAGGAGGCTGTGGTGAGGTGGGGGTCGGCCTCTGCTCCTGCATAACTACAGTGAGAGAGAATGGCTTTCAGTTGCACCAGGGAAGGCTCAGGTTGGATATTAGGAAGAAAGTATTCTCTGAAACAGGCTGCGCAGGGAGGTGGTGGAGTCATCATCCCTGGAGGCGTTCAAGAGATGTTTAGATGTTGTACTGGAGAACATGGTTTAGTGGGGAAATACAGTGGCAGGTGAACAGATGGACTTCATAATCTTACAGGTCTTTTCCAACCTTGGTGATTCTGTGATTCTTTACAGCTGAAACAATGACTTAGCTTTTAGGTAAATTGACTTCTCGTTTCATTTCTAGCTGGAGAGTTGTTGAATTAGAGCCTTTGGAAAGATCTCATGTAAATGAAGAAGAGGTAAGCTATATTTTAATTAAACCATGGTTAAACTGGATGTATAATTGGGATAATCAGTATGTATTTTCTAAAGACTTTGTACAGATCCTGGTAAGTTTCACATTTCAAAGTACTGGGTCTCAGAACTTGGGAATATGTCCTACCCCAACCTACCAGAACCTGTAGTGGATGACAGAAATGCAAGAACCTCCATTAATAACTGCTTTTTCATCTAGCTCCTATGTCCCTTGCTATTGGCAGTCAGAGCTCACATAGGGTCCTCTGCTCCTGAGCACTCAGCTATTGGGTCTGCTACTGTGACTGTCCCTGGAGCTACGTGTGCTATAACGTCTCTTGTCCTTTTCCTTCATGGCCATTTGCCATGGCCTCTTGCCCTCCAAGAGGTAATTTGGCATTTTGCCTGCAGGCCCAGAAGGTTCCTCAAGTCCTCTTGCCCGTGTTCTTTCAACCCTCCCGCTGGAAGCAAACTTTTCTGCTTTCCCAGGAGCAGCATAATCTTT